TGAGATCTTTACTGGACGAATAGCTAGCGTCTTCAACAAGGTTTTGGAACGTCAGAACAAGGGATTCGGATTCTAAAGTAGCTGTAGTTTCTGTATTTGTTGCAGATCGAGAGAAAATCCATGGGCAGCTGTGGAAGGGAAGGGTCAGTGAGGCAGTATATACGATCGAAAGTCCCTCGTCTAAGATGGACTCCTGAACTGCATCGCTGCTTTGTTCATGCCATTGACACCCTCGGAGGTCATCACAGTGAGTCTCTTTTGCGGTTTTGCCTTGCCTCCTCTTTCAGTCTTTCTCTAGCGCTTCCGCTTTTGATTTCTGTGTTCTCAGTTTTTTTCCCGGGTCATAGTCGTCTGCATTTGATGAAATGACTTCTCGTTTCTGTGGTTTTGTAGAGGCGACGCCTAAGCTTGTTCTTCAGATGATGGATGTCAAAGGTCTCACTATCTCACACGTGAAGAGCCATCTTCAGGTTGATTTCCTAGTACTGTGGTTTTACCGGGCGATGGAATCATGCTTAACTTTTTTTTTTTTTGTGGTGTTTACTTGATGTTTTGTTGTTGTTTTTAAACCAGATGTACAGAAGCATGAGAAGTAATTTGGGCAGACAAGGTACTATAAGTTGTGTTGCTATCATGCTGCGTATGATTTTTGCTTTGAAAGTCCTACTTTTTTGTGTATCGTACATTAAATACTCGTTTCGCTTTGCACAATAAAAGAAGACGATGATGAGATCTCTATCTATTACCGTTTCCTCTAATGGCACGTATTCGGATTCAAAAGCAAAACCTGAGAGGTAGCATTTATGAACGAGTTTGGGAAATCTGCGTCTGCATTGCTCATTTATTAGTCCTTTTAATTCCTTTTTTCCTTTGGTTGATGCCAAAAGAGACATGGAGAGAAAGGGGGAAACCAGTGTACTTTTGAATCCTTTCTTGATGAAAAACTTGGATGAAACCCAAAGCTTTTTACCCTTGCAACTTCTGTGGGGTTTTTCATCTATGCATCCTTAATAAATACTCTCGTGTACTGTAACAGATGGGAGTTCGAGCCACCATAGAAAGCAATCTTTTGAGGAACATGATGATGGGTGTGTTGATGAAGTGAATGATGCAGATGCTGGTAGAGCTATTATTCAACGATGTTCAAAATCCATGAGGAAAGAATCAGATTCCCCCAGGAGCTACAGTGATTTCTCACCTAAAAGGTCAGCTTAGCTTCATCATTATAAATAAATAGATGTTATGATGTTTTTGACATGATAACAGACTTTTCTTGTGTCAAGAAAAGTGACGGGGGGAAGGAAAGAAGAAGAAAAAGAAGAGAGAAGAGCCTGGGAGGGTTTTGCTTTAACTCAGAATTTATAATTCTGCGTGTGAAGTGACTTTTACTTTTGTATGCGTGGTTTTTGAAATTCCTTTCCGTCTGGAATCTCTTGGGTGGTCAGAGCGAGAATGGAGACGAGGAGTTGCATATCAGTAGCAGAGAGGCAAAGAACATGTGAAGCAGGAACAGTGGCGAGTCCGTACAGCTTTTATGATTATGTGCAGGTAACGGGTGAGCGCAAGGGAATAAAGGAGGCTTCTTCTTCATCTTCTGCTGCTGCGACAATATCAATATGGCAGAATCAACCCTTCTCTCTTCTGCCACATTTTCCTAACCTCACTTCTTTCCACCAGCAATCTGATTATCCTCAGGTACTCATGCCAACACGAATTCCACCCTCTTTCTCCCCTTTACTTTTTTATTATTTGTTTTTGACTATGAAATGAGTTAAATACGATAAAAGTCAGGCGGCACCGAAATGTCGAATCAGGTTTTGCTCCGGTCCGGCGGTTCGAAGCTGTCTAACAAACGTGTAAAAACCGATCAAGGATAAAACTAGTAGAAATTAGTCAGAGAATCCTGCCTCGTCTGATTCAAAACGTATTCTTAAAATTTCGTGGATATTACATGATATATTTAACAAATTACAGTCAAAAGTTCTGACTCCGTCCTCTCGTTCGTTCCTTTTGCAACCCTTTCTATAAAGAATTATATGCAAGTCTACTTTTTTTTTTTCCCCCTCCCATATAAAGTTACGTATTTATTGAAAAATCTATATAATAAATAAATTCAACCTAATTTTATATGATATATTTTACGAGGTTTCACAAGCTTCATTATTCATGGAACATATTTAAGTTGTATGGTTTGATGTGATAATGTATTAATTATTGTAATATTATGTTAGGGTTTGATTATTATTTGGCGAGAAACGCTTTAACCATAGCTTTAAATCTTTACCTCTATATTACCAAATATATGATAGGTTAAGGAATCATACTCAGATATAAATGTGAAAATAAAATGAACTGATTATGGCATTATTTGTTGGTGCTGAGATGATGAAATGGAAACACTAATCTTGAGACTATTGGGGTTTTTTGACGCTTTTTTCTTCAAATGCTGTAAACTTTTCCTGATCCCGTTTTTACATCTTAAAGGGGAAACCATTACTTTCGTCCCAGCTACCTTGTGCTTTTTCTGTGTTCATATGCTCCAAAACTTTGGGTCCAAAAGAGGAGGCAAAATACTTCTAAGCTTGCAAACTTCTCACAAGTTCATACCAGATGCTACGCTCTTTCTTTTCCCTATAAAATGTTCCACCCTGCATTTTTCTCTCCCGTTGAAAGTGAGTGAAGGTGGCTCACTTTTGATGCCTTTTCTGTTCGTATTTTAAGAAAGTTGGTTCATTCAGAAGAGCTTACATCAGTATGCAGAAGGTAAGAAAGATTGTAAAGTAGGAAAAAAGAGGCTTACGGGACATGCATAGGCCAAGTGCTAGAAGTCTCACGACGCTAATTTTTTGGATTATTTATGCAGTATATCAAATTTAAAACAACGAATTTAGTACTTAAGTTAATAATGAATATTATAACTAATTAGAATGCTAAATTAATCTGATGTACTAGTATGTATAATCACATTTAATAATTTAAAATAAAAGATTTGTGGGCTTACGTTGTTGTAGTAAATTTGTCATCGATGAGTCGTATATTTATTGGCAAGATGAAATGAGCATGATGGTAATAGGATTACCCAACATTTACTGGCCGCTGTCATATATCATAATGCCCTCTATTTTGGACGCTTTTAAGCGATCGGTGGTCCTCTCAAATTATTGGGAGCAGGGACCCTGCAATGGCTTGGTCAAATGGCCGTTTGCTATTATTGCCCTTATTCAGACAAAAAGCCTAAGATGCCAGTGATAGTAATTGTGAGTTGTAATATTTGTTTGGATGGATTGGCAGGGCAGCGGATTAGGTGGCGGAAATGTTGGTTCAGGGGCGAAGAATGAAGATGCAGAAGAAGGGTGCGAGCTTTCACTATCCCTCTCGCTGCCAAACCAATCCTCAAAGAGGAGCAATAATACAATCACTAACAACAGTGAAATGAGTGAGGCCATGTCGTTCATGTCTTGTTCTTCCTGCGGCAAAGATACTATTAACTTGGACTTGTCCATAGCCCTATGTGGCATTTGATTTTGTTCTTCAACTCTCTAACTATTAAAACCGAATGTTGTGCTTTATTTACGCACCCGCGCTATTCCTCCTTCACTCACTCTCTTTGCCTTTAAAACGCCTTCTAATAAACCCGGGGACCGTCAGTGTAAATGGCAGCCCAATACTAGACCGGCCCAATACTCGATATGGGCTCTCTTGCGTTTGTTAACATTTATGCTGCTCTGTGCCCCCTTCTTGCACACTAACCAGCAGATCATGTGAACAGTTGCCAAAAAAAAAAAGATTATAAGAACAACAAAAATTGTACGATTTCAGCTAAAGTGACGATCTGCTCCCAAAGGCATTATTAACAAGCAAATTGAAAAAAAAGAATTCAAGAATTTCCTTCGTAGTCTTTGCTCTCGTCTTGTTCATTTTAATTCCGTGCTTTATATGAGATGTTTTCAACGAATGTTTAAATGCTTTGCATTCTAACTTCTCTCTTTAAACTCAATTTTTGTCCCGTTAGGCATCTTCGTTATTTTAACCAGGCTAATGTAGATAAAAAGCAGTGTTGTGAATATTGTAATTATGACTTGTTGTAATATGGATAAAAGAGCAGCCTTTTCATTTTTTTTTTTTTTTTTGTGTAAAGCCTCTGGTATCTGACCTCCCAAAAGAGACTGGCTAATCTGGAGGTAGGCGCGCACCTTGGGCGCCCTTTCTAACCATCCCGCCAAGCGACAGAGCTCAGCAACCTTTTCAAATTTCAATTCACTGTTAAGTTTAGTTACATTATCTTTTCTGACTCCCAAGTAAGTAGCTTTCTAGTATTTATTTTTAACTTCAAAACTTTCAAATGATTTATGCCATTCTAACGCTAAATTGAGTTTTTCATGGTTAAAAGTCCATGGATGAAAGGGTGTCCTTGCATATTTAGTAAGTTTAAGTTTACATTTAAATTTTAATGAAATGGTATTTGTTGGCTTATCAGCGAATTTTATTGTTTTATTTCATTTTTTGTTTGTTTATACACACACACATTTGTTTTCAATTAAGGGGGTGTTTGGATGCTTTTGAAAATCATTTTTCTATAAATCAATACAAATTTTTTCACATATTTACTTTATATATTATAAAAGTATTTTTAAAATTATAATTTTTTTAAGAAAAATAGTAAAAAAAGACTGTTGAAATAGAAAAATTACATATAGAGACCGGTTTGTAAAAATTATTGTCAAAATTTATATTTTTATCGTCAAAACTCAAACTAATATTGTCACGAGTTTTTATTTATAATTTTTCTATTTTCTTAGTATTTATTTTGCCATTTTCTCTTGTTTTTACCTCAAATAAAAAAAGTGTTTAGATTAAATCAAGATTATAATTTTAAAAATGTTTTTATATTATACAAAATAAACATGCCAAAGAGTTTCTCTTATTTTACGAAAAAGCACTAATATAGCCTTCTGTGTGCTTTCAAACACTCCCGGCAATCAGGAAAGCCAACCAGAAACAGCAGGTTTGCGCAAATGGCTCAACTTTGGCGACCTCTAATGAGGCAATGGCCATGGCGGGGGTCGCGCATGCCGAACCATTGTTGTGGCATCAGCCTTCACCATCTCCTCAGCTCGCCCTGTTTTCTTGAGCCCGCCAAGCCAACCTCTTTTACTCATTTCTCTTTGGTCCCTCTTGTTTCATCATCTAATCGAAATCTCCATTTTCGCTCTGGCTCTCTTCGATTTTCCGACGACGCCGTGCTTCAAGATGGAGCTGACAGTGATGAATCGAGTGCTGACGTTAAGAAGAGCCGCAATCAGCTGAAACGCGAGGCTAAGCGTGCTGTGCGTTGGGGTATGGAGCTGGCTTCTTTCTCTGCTCCTCAAATCAAGCGAATACTCAGGTTGAATTAGCAGACATTGCCACTTCCTTTCTACTGGTGCTTACTTTTAGAAAGTTGTGATGTATCACTGGTTGAAGGTTTCTGTAATTTGTTTTGGATTGCAGAGTGGTTTCTGTGGACCGAGAAGTGTTTGAAGCTCTAATGCTGGTTAAGGTGATTTTCCATTTTAATAATGAAGATGAGTTATGCTAGTTAGCTTGTCTTTTTCCCCCTTTGCCTCTGGAATAATTGTTTTTTTGTTTAATCTACTATTGAAGAGAAGGTGTTTGTTGTTTTGCCATAGAGATTAAGACCGGATGTCCGCGAAGGAAGGAGGAGGCAGTTCAATTATATTGGTAATTTTTTCATTTCTCTTTAAATTTTTTATTTGGAATGCAGAATATTGTATTGGCTACCTGTCTTGCAAACTTACCTAAAGATAAGCTGCGGTATGTAGACCAATGCTTATTTGTCTTGAAAGCATCTTTTGGGGAAATATGCTCGTACTAACTGAAACAGATACACAATTTGGTCATCGAAAGATATACTTCCTAATGCATTAGCCATTGGATTTGTTTTTCTACATGACTTAGTTGCTCAGCTCAGCTCATCGTTCTAACTTGCTGCACATGGGCCTTTGCCTGAACAACATGTTTATTACACTATGATGAGCTCAATATATAGCTGTGGTAAGTATCCACATACTTCACAAAAACTTTTCGTCAACCTTCCTCTGACTTATACTATCTTCGAAGAAAATAGGTAAAAATTGGCTTCTAACAGAACAATATCTGATTCTATTTCTGCTGATAATGCACACCCCTTTTCTAAAGCCAGCTCTCCATTCTTGAAAATTTCGCTTGATTCCTATAGCAGTTATGTGTCTTGCGTACTTTTCTCAGTTTCCATGCTCTTCCTCCTTAAATTTCGCTTGATTCTTATGGCAGTGATGTGTTTTGTGTACCTTTCTTAGTTTCCATGCTCTTCCTCCTCCTTTCTACTTCTTCAGACCCTCTTTCCTTATGGCTTCTTCCCATGTCTAGTTCTGGGCATCATCTGTTATCTATTTAACTTATTTTCTTTAAACCCTCTCTGGTTTACTGTATATTCAATTGAATTAACGCATGGGAATTTGTCGCGGCCAATCATGGTACTACTAACCAGTTGATTGAATTGCACTTACCATTTGAGATTTTAAGGTAATTTCATGTGACCTTCATTTGCTATTTGATGCATTTTTTTTTGCTTCATACTTACCGAATTTGTGTCAGGAAAATTGCTGCGGGAAGTGCAACCTGAATTAATGGATAAATTAATAGAAGCAACAAAAGATGGCAATCACAGTGAGCTACAAAAATTATGTGGCTCAGATTCTGAGGTTCTTGAAGGCGACGACGAACTTACGGAATTTGAGCCTGACGAGGATGATGAGGTATTCATTTATATATTAGTATTCATGCTACACAATGTGCTCTCACACACACGCACACATCCATAACATATCCACAACTTTTTGTTCAACATGTCGAGTTAATTGAATCCTTCAAATGACCCTATCCCTCGGGATACAAAAAATCAATTCTCGCTTTCTGATTCTGGTGGCTAATTAGTCTCTTCATAGCAGGTGGAATATAAATGTTCCTGGATTCCTCGGGTATTGGTCACTGATCTATTTCATGTCGTATGATTACATTCTTACTTTGGAGTATTTTATCAGGATTCTGATTGGCACGTTGCTCGAGCAGTTAGATGGTTTGATGGTCTGGTCAATAAAGATGTTAAAATCACCAATGAAGTTTATTCATTGCAGGAGGTTGAGTTTGATCGTCAGGTAATGTCTTCTTCCTCTTCCTTTTTCTGTGGGATTCTCTTCCCCCACTTTTCCAGTGCAGCTTCAAATGCATGATACATTTTTACTTGGGTGCACATTTTAGAACCGGTAAAACACGTCACCTTCTTTGATATACTTCATAGAGGGAATACAACCGAATGAAACATTTCGGTCTTCTTTGTCCTGGATGCCATGCTGAACTGGTACACATTTGGCAGAGTTAATGATCATCAGTATGGCTGGATGTGTAATATTTCATACATGCTATATAAGAAATGTTTTCAAATATGACCTCAAAACTTTCATCACTATTAAAAACAAGATTTAACTTATAGAAGATTCAAACTACAATTTTTTTACGCACAAGTTATCCAACATATGCTTAAAGTAGACTAAAAATTGATTAGTTAAACATACAACAATAACAACAACAAAGCCTTGTCTCACCAGGTGGGGTCGGCTATATAGATTGCACGATGTCATTGAGTTCTATCTAAAGCCAAATCTTTAGATAGGTTGTTAATTGAAAGATATCTATCAATGATTTCCTTAAGCGTTGTCTTCGGCCTTCCTCTACTTCTTTTTAGAGGGTTCTATATTGTTCGCTCAACTCTTCTTTGATTAGGTAAACATAATTTTCTTAAATTTTGTTCAAATGACTTTTCTTAGTTTAAAATAAATTGCAGGGACTATTTTGAGTTTCTGGTTAATTATATATATATATATATATTTTCTTTTGTAAATTTTCGTAGCTCACATAATTTCTTCTTGAAAATGGAGGATAAATTGTACATATCTCTCGTGAGTTTTCAAGTCCTTGTGAATTTACACAAGTCTTCCGTTTTCTCCTATTTAGGTTGCGTACTTTTAGTAGAATAATGAGAGAAGTTTGTGTTTTGAAAATTCGGAGAAAGTCATTTGCACTTTTACTCCGATAAAATTTGTACTTTATTGTCATCCCAAAATTTCTTCATGGCAATCAATAATCTGTCCTTTTACCGTCAAGCGGTATAATGCCCTATGAGTTCTCATGGGTTAGTTGGATCAGGAGTTACGGAAGCTTGTAAGAATGGTGCACTCAGCACAAGAACAGGAAGTTGCTAATGAAGTGGAGAGAAAAGTAGAAACAGCGAAAATTCGGGCTGAAAAGGCTCTCACTCGTTTCCTTCGTTCCATTGCAAGACAAGTTCCTAATGAATATTGATTATCATCAATTTTTAATATAGCAATTAGTCATTCATATATTAGGGTCATAGATTAAGTGTACCATATGTGTATTAAATTTTTTTGTCATAGATGCCTGATGGCTTAAAAAGTATTTGATCATTGATAGAGTTCAACGGTTCTTGTGGAATTTATAGATTTATAGCTTTCTTCAAAAGTATTTTGGGTCATTGAGTTTCTCTGGGATGGGCGACGCTGTTGCGCCTTCGAGACCAGCAGCAGCTGCCAATTGGCTGCATACCAGCGGTGTTCCTGGCTCTCACACAATGCGGAAAGGGAGTCAAAATAACTTCTTATATTTCATGAAGGAATAAATACAGCTAGCGGAATCAATTTGGGTCGAAGATAGAGAGATAAAAATAAATTTTATCAAATCCTATCTCTAATAACTACAAATATTTACATGTTAATGATTGGATTTCCATAAAAATACATTCGAGAGGGAACAGATTCGGGGACCTACATTTATAATACGGTGTTTATATGCAGAGCTTTAAGTAATGAAGTGGCCATTTGCTTGACCAACACTTGGCCTCCTGAACTTTGTCCGTCTCGCCGTTCCTCTATTAAGCTCTGAAGTTTCTGAGGCAAATCATTCTCCACAATCAACTTCTTCGGCTGTGGATGGTGTTCGTAGACAGCCTACCAAATAATTTTTAGAGTCCTTTTCAGTGTTGCTATGAGTTCATATGCACATTGTTGGAACAGAAACTTATACTCACTTTAACATTTAATGTTTCAGCTGTACAATATAAACAAAAATATAACCATGCTTGCCCGTCAGAACTACTCAATGCAGCATCTTAGAGTTCCATTATAGTGCACATGTTGAGAGGAGTCATCCGTTCTATCTCAATCAGTTTCAAATCAACAATAGATAATTACAGTCAACAATTCATAAATGGGACATTTGCACGAGGAACACCTCTATCCCCCATGTTTTAACTCTAGTCATTTTAAAGCCTATCCAAAAAAAGAAAAAGAAGTGAAATACACTAGCTACTCATATGATTTACTTAGATTACAAAAACCTCCATTCTATTTTGAAAGCATATATAAACCTCCTTTAAAAATAAAATGTACTACCTTCGGTCTTAGTTATAAGAGCTAACTGACCAATTTGGAGAGATTAAGAAAATAAGTTAAGTTAGTTATTTGTAATTGATATGTGTTGTTTTTTTCTAACATATCTTTGCTAATTAAATGTGTTGGTGAGAGCTATTATTATTAGAAGGACCACCTTGATTTTATTATAAAATTTTATAATTTTAATTTTTCATCACAAATATTGAAACTTATTTATTTAGATTTCTTTTAAATGGCTTTCAATCATATAATATAAATTATCTAAGTTCGAGAGATTATAGAAATTATTTAAATTCATAATTTAAAATTTTTAAATAAAAATTTTGTTAGAAACATTTATAACTTATTTAGACAATTATATATTTGTTTGAAAAATTAATTAAATTTCCATTCAAGTTTTTTATGTCTACATTAAATAAATTGTTAGCACCGAACTCTAATGGGCTTTGGGCCCAAAACCCTAGACTTAACCCTAGGTTTAGACCTAGTTAACCTAGTTATCTAGTCTGCCGCAATTAGAGAGCTTATTTAGAGATTTAGTATATTTTGAATTTTGATTTCTGATTCTCCTACTATTTCGGCTAGGATCTCTCTAGATTCTTCTCTCTCTACCTTCTCATGTATTCAGGTTTTTCCTATTTATTCCGCTGTACCATTTTGATGAGATAAATAAGAATTATTATTCACAAACCCACATGGTATCAGAGCCATGGTCATTTTCGGCTCAATACAAGAAGCTGATGAAATGCATCAGTCAATGACTAATCCTTTAGGGTTAGCAGCAACAACCTCGGCGCCCTCAGCAACTCAACCTGCGACAGAAGCAAGCCTTGTGTCTATTACTATTCATAGACTCAATGGACAAAACTACATCCAGTGGGCTGCAAGTGTACACTTGTTTATAATGGGAAAGGGCAAATTTGGCTATCTCACGGATTCCATAAAGAAACCAGAAGTAACAAACCAGAAATATGCAGCATGGGAAGCCGAAAACTCCATGGTTCAGGCATGGCTAATCAATTCAATGACTACAGAAATTAGTTGTCATTTTTCTTTCTTCCAAACGGCTTAGGAGGTGTGGGAAGCAGCAAAAGATATGTTCACTTCCCTCAAAAACAAATCTGCAATTCTGGAACTTGAAAGTTTTCTTCACAATTTTAAGAAGGGTAATCTTTCTGTAACCCAGTATTACACTAACTTGTTTGTTAAGTGGCAACAGCTTGACATGTATGACACCTATGAGTGGAAGTGTTCAGGGGATGCTGCCCTATATGAAAAAATAAAAGAAGAAAAGAGGATTTTTAAGTTCCTCTTAGGTCTGGATGCAGCATTCGAGGATGTAAGAGGCAGAATTATGAGTCTGGAAAATCTGCCCCCTTTGAGAGAAGTATTCTTCATGGTAAGGAGTGAACAATCCAGAAAGAAACTCACCATAAATGAAGGCATAAACCTGGCAGAATCTCAACCTAATGCTCTCTTCTCACGTGACACCTCCAAAGAGGAGGACAAACCTAAATCAGGAAGGTGGTGTGATCATTGCAAAAAGAAAGGCCATACACGAGAGGTATGCTGGAAACTGCACGGTAAACCTAAAAAAGGAGGGAAGCAGGAGAACAAAGGTTACACTAGAACTGTTGAAAGTACTCCTGAACCGGCAACTGAATTGAATAGAGAGGAAGTTGAACTACTCAAGAGAATACTGGAGAAACACGAATTTAAAGGGAAGTCTATATCATCAGGATACATTGCTCACACAGGTAAAACAATCCTAGCTTTAAAAACTGATGTACATCGTCAGGACTTATGGATTGTAGATTCAGGAGCAACATACCACATGACTGGTAATGCAGCCTTGTTGACTGATATAAGACCTTGTACATTGAATATTCACATCAGTGTGGCTGATGGGAAGACTGTCAAAGTAATAGGTTTTGGGACAGCATACATAAATGAAAAATTGATCCTGTATAATGTTTTCTATGCTCCTAATTTAAATTGTAGTCTCCTCTCTGTTCGAACTATAACTGAAAGCCAGAAATGTAATGTGTATTTTTCTGCTACTGTTTGTGTTTTTCAGGATCTGGAGTGGAAGGAGACGATTGGCACAGCTAAGATCCTAAAAGGTCTCTATTGCTTGGAAACCACCAAACAGAAGAACTATGCTCTATCCAACACAGATCATTTTTGCTTTCACTAGTGTTTTGTCTAATAAAGACCTATTGTTGTGGCATTATAGGTTAGGCCATCCCAATTTCAATTATATGTTCAAATTTTTTCCTCAATTCAATAAAAGCTCCTTTCATTTGACTTGTGAAATTTGTCAATTAGCCAAACACACAAGAGCATCCTATAAAAGTAATCCTCACAAGCTATCTCAACCCTTTAACTTGATCCATAGTGATATTTGGGGGCCAGCTCGTATAACTTCCATGACAAATGCCAAGTGGTTTGTAACCTTCATAGATGATCATACAAGGGTTACATGGGTATACCTTATGAAAGAAAAATCAAATCTTGCATCTACATTCATTTCATTTCACAAAATGGTGTCCACACAATTTCAAACCCAGATCCGAACCTTGAGGAGTGATAATGGGAGGGAATATGTGAGTAACACATTACAATCTTACCTGAAAGACCATGGGATTCTTCATCAAACTAGTTGTGTCAATACCCCACAGCAAAACGGTACCGCAGAACGCAAAAATAGACACCTACTTGACATTACTCGTGCCATTATGCTAACCCACCATGTCCCAAATCATTTTTGGGGAGAGGCAGTACTTACTGCTACCCACCTTATCAATAGAGTACCATCCAAAATCCTGGATTTCCAAACTCCCATGAGCCTACTCAGTAATTTATATCCACATGCCAACCTCACCTCCCATATTCAACCAAAAGTCTTTGGGTGTGTATCCTATGTTCATGTGTCTACCGGGAGCAAGTTTGAACCTAGAGCTATTAAATGTATCTTCCTTGGTTACTCCACCTCTCAAAAGGGATACAAGTGCTATTCTCCTACCTTTAGGAAATTTTTTGTTACCCTAGATGTAACCTTTGATGAACACCAATCCTACTACCCGAAATCTCCCATTCAGGGGGAGAACAGGAGTGAATGGGAGCTTTTAGACACTGCAAACCAACCTGTTTCAACCCACTACCAAACAGACAGCCCAGAAACCACCTCACACAGCCCAGAAACCACCTCACAAAGTCCAGAAACCACTTCACACAGCCCAGAAACCGTCTCACACGACCCTGAAACTGTACCAGAAATTGAACCTGACAACATACCTACCCCTATTACAGAACCTACCCTGGAAACCAGAACAGACAGCCCTGAAACTGGTCATAACAGAGAAATTAGTGAGGAGGAAGAAGAAGAAGACGACGAAGAGGATAGAGATGTGCAATCACCAAGTAATAGAGATCCTTCTAGCTCACAGCAAAGCCAGGAGTCCACCCAAACTCCAGAATCTGATGACACAGGATGGCCAATTGCTTTGAGAAAGGGGGTAAGGCAATGTACTCTACATCCTATAGGTCGTTATGTCTCTTATGACCATTTATCTACTGATATGAAAGGTTTTGTGACTAAAATTGATGAGGAGAAAATTCCATCAACATTTGAAGAGGCATACAGTGATCCAAGATGGCGAGAGGCTATTAAGGAGGAGTTAGAAGCTCTATTGAAGAATCAAACATGGACTGTAGAAAAGTTACCCACAAGAAAAAAGGCTGTTGGGTGCAAATGGGTGTTTACTATCAAGTATAATTCTGATGGTACTGTGAACAAATTCAAAGCCCGGCTTGTAGCAAAGGGCTACTCACAAACACAAGGTATTGACTACCAAGAAACATTTGCCCCAGTAGCAAAACTAAATACAATAAGGATTTTATTATCCTTAGCTGCAAATCTCGAATGGCCTCTATACCAATTAGATGTGAAGAATGCCTTCCTAAATGGAGACCTTGAGGAGGAGGTATACATGAAAATTCCAGAAGGAGTTGCAGAATTTGGGAGTAAAAATCTGGCATGTAAACTACACAAATCCTTATATGGGTTGAAGCAGTCTCCTAG